GGGCGCGCGACGCCATGTGCACCGAACGTGCCACTCAAAGAGCGCTGCGCTGACCCTGGCCGGGCACTTCCAGCTGCTCGTCGCCTCGGAGGCTGGCGAAGTCTACGGTGCTCTCTCCATGGCCTGCGCGTCCGCAGCATGGAGGCCGCCACGAAGAACTACGGCCGCTCCAGATTATTTGGGCACGCCGCCGATCCCGATGTCACCACCGCTGCTTTCCGTGCCACGGTCCTTGGTACTTCGCTGTCGGAAGCTTGCTCTTGCGTGCCTGCGCGCCCCGATCGCTGGGCCATCGATGGCCTCTGGTGTCGCTTGGGACAGCGGGTCCTCCTTGCACGTCGGCCCGCCACTGTCCGTGGCCATCTTGTGGCCTCTTGCTATTCCGAAGTGAAGAAAATCCTGAAACTCGCCGGAGCGTCCACCGAGCTACGTAGCGACTGGCTGCGCAGGTATCAGTCTATGAGCGAGTCCCCGCAGTTGTATCAGCAGTGGCTGCTGGCAATACTTGAGTGCATCGAGGGTGAGCTTGCTGTTGACGGGGCCGGCAGACTTCTTCCGACTGCGAATTCGCGGGCTCGGCAGGTTGTCGAGGAGATTCATGTTTCTACTGCGTTCGACGATCGCGCAGCTCTTGCGGCGGAATGTTCGACTTTTCCCTCCGTGTCTTTCACGGCCCCTACCTTGCTGCACTGCTTCGGGCAATCGGTCTTCGAATCCTGCGTGCAACGACGACGTTGACGACGATGCTTCCGCGGGCGGGCTCAGGGGGGCCTGAGGGGGCCGCCCGCGTTGCCGATCTGGCCGCCGGCCCGATTCGAAGAAGAACAAGACGGCATGCACATAAACTTTTGGCGCTCCGCGCAGATTTCTTGGATCTGCGCTGGGCCCCCTCCCTGGCGAGCGGAGCGCGCCAGGGGCGGCGCCGAGGGCGCCGCTGGGGGGCGGGCCAGCGGGGGTCCAAGAAATCCGCGCGGAGCGCCAACAGTGTATGTTGATGCCGTTTTTTCTTCTTCGACCGATTCTCATATGCGAGCTGCCCAGCGAGAACTATGGCAGGCGCGGCGCGCGATTCGCCCCCCGAGGGGCGCCGTGGGCGCATCCGACGAGTTCGCGTCTCGATGGGCACAGCCAGCTTACCACGGCGAGAGCGGCCAGGATCGCGAAGCAGCGCTGCATCCGTCGACGCGTGCGCGCGCCCCGCCTGCCTGCTCGCAACCACCCTGCGGCTTCGATTGAGCGGAGCTGTCCCAAACAGGATCGCATCGTGAAAACATCAGGACGGGAGGTTTTGGGCTATTTTCGGGCCCGGGAAGCCCTCGCCGGGCCTCGGGGCCGTCAACAACGGCCCAGGGAGAAAAACCGGCCCCGGGGAAAGGGTCGGGACTTCCAGGGGCGCCGCCCTACAAGGCGCCGAATGTCTGGGATTGTTCTGGGGGGGGGAGCTGCTACGTCACCGACACCGTTGTTCCCGATTCGCTCGAATGCCCCCTTTGCGAGGGCGAACCTCTCGAGACCTTCGGCCTCCTGCAAGACCACATCCGCAGTCGCCCAGGCTCGATTCCGGCGCGGCGGGCGGGCCCTCTGGGCGCCCTTGACGGTGGCGGCGGCCGCGCGGCCCAAGTCGCTGGAGAGACTGGTGGCCCCCGCCGCCCTGCCAGCTGCCGCCGTGTTCTCGAATCTGATGTGCGCGTCCTGCTGCCCACTAAATGCCGAAGAGCCCAGCCTGCGCGCTGCCCCCGTCCGTTCCGTGTCCAAGGACATCGCCTGGTCCTGCTTGGCCCACGCAGCCGCGTAGCCCGTGCGCGCGAAGCCGCGACATGAACCAGCGCGAACTCCGCGTTTTCCCTGCAGGAGGGGATCTGTACATATATATATATATATATATATATACATAGAGAGAGATAGGGAGAACGAGGGAGAGAGAAAGAGAGAGAGAGAGAAGAGAGAGAGAGAGAGAGAGAGAGAGAGAGAGAGAGAGAGAGAGAGAGAGAGAGAGAGAGAGAGAGAGAGAGAGAGAGAGAGAGAGAGAGAGAGAGAGAGAGAAAAAGAGAGAGAGAGAGAGAGAGAGCGAGAGAGAGAGAGAGAGACATAGAGAGATATAGAGAAATATCCATGAAACAAGAAAGAGAGAGAGAGAGAGAGAGAAACAAAAAGTGAGAAAGAGAGAGAGAGAGAGAGAGAGAGAGAGAGAGAGAGAGAGAGAAAGAACAAAAAAACAAAGAAAAAACAACATCGGAATAGACGCGGTGAAGCGCTTCGCTGTCCGCCCCGCGGCAATTGCTTGGAGGGTGCGCGCGAATGGCCAGATCCGCGCGCGGATGCAGCGGCGTGCGGATGCTGTCGCGCGATGTCTGTAAGTGCCGCGCTGCCCTTGGTGATCCAATGCTAGACTGGCCACTGGAGCACTGGCAGCGCCGTGATGCGCTTGCCTGGCAGTGCACCCGTGGATGATGAAGCGGCGGCATTGGCCGCGCTCGAGGGGGCCGCGGCCTCCGAGACTTCAACTGCAGAAGAGGGAGACAACGACGTCGGTGGGCCATCTCCACGCTCTGAGACCACAACAGGTTGGCCAGGTTGAGCGCAAAGGGGCCCCCCTCGACGCTGGGCCCCAGGCGCCCTGGCGCCCGCGGGCGTCGAGGACTGGATCGCGACGCACCTCGTTGCCCCGAAGTCTTACGGAGGCAGCCATATGCGCCAATGAATTCACGCGCTTGTGCGGTCGCATCCTGCGAACAGCTGCCGGCGCCAACGTTGCCCGCGCCCTCGGCGCTGTCGCGGCCGTCGCGCGGCGCCCTCAACGGCGGCCGCCCAGGACTGCAGCGCGAGCTGGTCTGCGCGGCGGGCGCCCCAACAAAGCGCCCCGCTTGCAGCGCTCCACCGCGGAGCGCCTTGCCTGGTAAATTATGCTCCGCCTCTGCGCGACCCGCCTCGCTTGCGCCCGCGTCCACTGGCTTGCCGCGGCGGGTCCTCTCCGCCCCCCCTCCTCCGATCTCCGCCGGTCCGAAGAGGCCCTCCTCTCCCCGGTGTCGGGGTCGGCCTTCGCGACGTCGAGGGCCCGGGGGGGTTTGGGTCCTGGCGCGGGCGGGGCGCCGGATGATGACGACGACCGCCAATGCAGCGATGTCGGGGCAGCAGTTGGCGCGGGTGGAGGTGGAAAAGGGGCGCCTGCAAAGCCGCTGCCGCCTCCGCGTTGACCGAGTCCTGGTCACGTACTACCAATTCACTATCATCGCAAATCCTCTGAGCTGCTTCCAAATCCCGCCGATGGATCTCCCGTTCGATATCAGCGCCCAGGTCGGAGTCGCCAGCGAGCATGGAATACGCCTCCGTATTGGCCAAGTCCTGCTCATGGTCTGCCTGAGCCTCGTCCTTGTTAAGCCTATCCTGGCCGAAAATGAACTTCTTGAGCTTCTCGAAATACGCGACCGAATCAGACGTAGCTGCCCTATCAAGCTCGCCAGAACCGGAAAAAACTGACGCAGGCACAACCTCTAGCGCATGCGTGCCATGCCCTGTCTGAGACTGCGCGCGCACGGGGGGCGGGACTAGCGGCGTCGGTGCCGCAACCTCCTCCTGCGTCTGTGGAATTGTCTGCTGGCCTCTGGCGAACTACGCAAACACGCGCAGCAACTTGTCAGACTGCACCGTCATCTCAGCTGGCCCCTGCTGCAACTGGCCTGCCTGCTGCTTCTGCTGGCCCAGAATCAGCTGTAGCGAGGCCGTGATCTGCTGCGAGGCAGGCCCGGCAACTGGCGAAGGAGCATGGGTTGCCACGCGGGGAGGAGGCGGCGGCGGCCTCGCCCCGACAGCAGCTGGAGCCTTCGCGCCGGTCCCCAGCGGTCGGAGATGGCGGAGGCGGCGGCTTCGATGCCGGGGCCCTGGGCGTCCACCTCCATGCGGGAGCCCACGTCCTCAACGAGGAGAGTGCCCTTGGACTTCTCAAGCTTTTGAGCTGCTGCCTCGTGTCATGCGCATTTGTTTGCAAGATCCTCCCGCGCGTTGACACATTCTGCGAAGTGTCTCTCAACTTTGGCGAGCTTCTCCTTCGTGCAATTCAAGCCTATCCCTTGTCCTCAACAAGCAACAATGACTGAAAACCAGCCTTCAACACGGCAGTCTTAATCAACTCAACTTTCGGGAACTTATCTGCCATCTTCATCGAATGAACAGCTTCAGCCAACTGGTATATCATTTTTTGTCCACACATTCTTCTTGTGTGCCGCGGCCAGCTCATTATCATCCTCGCCGGGTAAATTCGTCCATGTGTTAGCCACACGTGCGAGGCCGATATGCATGGGACGAATTTCGTCGATGATCTTCCGAAGGATACCGTCAGACCTCTTCCTACGCTGTGATATGTCACGGCGTTCACTCTGGGCGGGAGAAGCACGTGACGTTCTGCCTTTGCGCTTACCATTGGAGGTCCCTTTCATATGTTGCTGCTGCTTCTTCCATTCATTGCCACAACTCTGGCAACACCAGCACGTTTCATTATTATTTGTAAAGCGTGCCGCGCATGCCCACGGCCCCATTGCACTATGATGAGCTGCGAATCTCTTGATTGCCTTGGCAACTCTAAGAATGGTACGGTCTTCTGCTCTCTGTCGGCGTTGGCGCCCGGGCCGATGCCAAACGGGCTCAGCCAAGCGGGGGAGGGTTCGCAGTCTGGGGCTCGCCTATGGCAAGCCGCGCGGGGCCGCCCTGCGGGGCAGCGGGCGCGCACCGTGGGGGAACGACTTGAGCCAAAATGGCTTGAGCCAAAATGGCTACGGAGCCTCCTCCTCCTCCTCCTCCTTCTCGTCCTCCTCCTCGTGCTCCTGCTCCTGTTCTTGCTGCTGCTGCTGCTGCTCCTGCTCCTCCTCTTCTTCTTTTGCTTCCTCGTCCTCCTTTTCCTCCTCCTCCACCTCCTCCTCCTCCTCGTCCTCCTCGTCCTCCTCCTCCTCCTCCCCCTCCTCCTCCTCCTCCTCCACCTCCCCCTCCTCCTCCCAGGGGGGGCGGGCCTCGCGCCGTGTTCCAGCTGCGAGTGCAGCGCCCGCTCGTACCTCGGCGCGCGAGAGAGAGAGAGAGAGAGAGAGAGAGAGAGCGAGGCGGCGGGGAGGCGCGCGCGGCTCTCGGGGCGGCAGGGGGGCGAAGGGCACAGAACGACCTCGTGCTCCTCGCTGTGTCTTCGAATCCGCCTCCGCCGCAGCACGACGTCAAGACAACAACGGCCCACGAAATCGCCGAGACATCGTTTGGGTCCAACCCCTGCGAGGCGGAGAGGGGAGGCGCGCGCGTCGCTCGTGCCACGGGGACGAAGGGCCCAGACCCGGCGGCGGGCGAGGGGGGAGGGGAAATTGAGAAGGCGAAGGCCTTCTCAGAAGGCTGCGAGGGCTTCTCACAAGCCCTCGCAGTTTCCGAGGAGATCTTCTGCGTCTTCGGGGAAGGGTCAGGAAACTTCTCAGAAGGCCGGGGGGACTTTCGAGCCTTCTGAAAACAGGCCTTCTCCTCCTCACTCCCCCCCCTCGCTCGCCGCCGAGCGAGGGCGGGGCGTCAGGAAGGCACGCGTCGCTCGGGGGACAACCGGCCCTCCCAGCGCTTTCGAAATCAAAACTAAGCCCCATGATCCGCTCATGCGTGCTACCATAATTCGGCAGCGAACGGGGGGGGACGTCGGGAGGAGAAGGCCTTCTCAGAAGGCTCGGAAGTCCACCGGCCTTCTGAAGAGTGCTCTGAACCATCCCTTAAGGACGGACAACTTCTCAGAAGGCGCCACGGCTTCTGAGACATCCCGCCGCATTCTGAGAAGGCCTTCTCCTTTTCATTTCTCCCCCTCGCTCGCAGCCGACAGTCCCCCTCGATGTTTTCCCGCCCAGGCGCGACGGAGTTAGTCAGCGGATAACCAAACGAATCTGACATTTACACAAGACCGGATTTTCCAAGTTCGGCGACGTAATCGTGAAGCCACTGAAGTATCACAAGTGCCGTGAGCACTGCCAATCGCACGCAGCCTCACACAGCCTGCTAAAAATTCACGAAGGGAGATGTTGTCGCTGCTTTCAACCTCCAGGGGCCCTTGCTTGACCCAGGGCCGTAATCAAAATGACTCAGGCGAAGACACCGGTCCCGGGAAAGGGGTCCAGACCTCGGGTCGACGTTATGACAAACATGGCGACGTCGGAGGCTTGGGGAAGAGGACCGCACTCGTGAGGGAAATCGCCCTCGCTTGACGCACTGGCTCTTGCGGGGCAACCGCATGGCCTGCAGAGCGGGTTGCGCGGGGGGCTCGGGGAGCTCATAAGGCCTCTGGACGTGGTCAGAAGCGCCCAGAGGGGCTGCGCGTCGGTCGGGCGAAATAAGTAAAAACCTGAAGCTGGAAGGCGGATCGAGCAGATTGGGCTCATACCCTCCCAGAGGAAACCACAACACAACATGAGCACATCGGTTCTTGAAGCAAGAAAACGCTTGAAATAAACTGGGGTCCAGGATTCCAATAGATTGGGATCCGGGATCCGGGATCCACTTTCAACGACCAGTGTCGTCGCGGGGGGTTGAATGGGAGGGGGACAGGGGAGACGGAGCGGGATGAAGGTGGGGGCGGGGCAGGAGAGGCGCAGGAGACACCTCCACCTCGACTTCCTCAACCTGTCGCCGCGCCTAGTCACGCCTTGACTCAACGTGTGCTTTGCTCTCTCGTTGCGCCCCAACCTTGTCTTTCGCACATCCGCCCCAACCTGTCTCTTGCGCCCCAACCTTGTCCACCTCTACTGTTTCAAACATCCGCCCGGAGGCGACCCGGCGCCGCCACCAGAGCGCCAGTGCCTTGCACGCGACTGGCAGCCGCTGTCATGTGGTACGCGCGATGCCTCCCGCCACAGGCGCGAGAACGTGCCGGGCGTGCGCGCACCGTGCACGGGCCACCACTCCACCGCCCCCCACTCGGGGATGGACAGACCCCCCTTTACTAAAACGTGGCTTAGTGAAAACGACCTGAGGCACAAACCTGGCGGGCGCAAGCCTGGAAAACAACGGCCACGGTGCCCTCTCGAGCCGAACACGGACAATTCACTAATCGACGTGTCACTGTTGGGGGCTCTGTCCACCCCCGACCCACCCATCTTTTGCGAAGCGAGGGCACCTCGACGGAGGGGGACCCCGGGGCACCACCAGGGCATTGGCCCCGCGAGGCCGGGGGGCCCGAGGGCAGAGGACCCTTCACGACGGGCTCTACGGGCTTCATCAAGCGCCACACGTACTTTTGCAGCCTGTCCTGCTGCCGCCACCAGCATCTCTGCAGCGACCTCTCCTGCCTCTTCGTTGTGGTCTTACGGATGTATGTCCTCTTCTTTCTCCTCTCCCCCTTTTGTCTGTCACATCCTCACGTCGTAATATGATCTTAGCTTTTGCCCCCCAGGGCCACTGGGGGGGCAGTGGCCGAGATCGTGGATCCTTTAAGCAAATAGGAAGCAACAAACAGGACGAGGAAGAGGAGGATGAGGAGGAGGAGGAAGAGGCGGAGGCGGACCCGAGCGACGTGGAGCCTGTTCGCAAAGGTCGCAAAGGCGGAGGCGGAGGCGGAGGAGCAGGAGGAGGGCCAGGGTGGTGATGGTAATGATGACGAGGAGGATCAGCAGGAGCACGGGCAGAAGGAGAATGGGGCAGGCCACGGAACTCTCCCTCTGCCGGCTGCCGCTGCCCTGGGGCGGCGCGGGCACTCGCTCCTCTGCTGGTCAATGGAGTCAGGGTCCGGCAGACTCGCGGCAAGCCTGGGCGCGCTGGGCAAGAAACAAATCGTCGGAGGAGGCATCAAGTTACGGCAATGGAGGAGGGGAGGAGGGGAGGAGGGGAGGTGGGGAGGAGGGGAGGAGGGGAGCCGGCCATGGCTCGGGCTGGGCGAAAGGGGGGGATAGCAAAGGGGGGGGGTGAGAATCAGCTCACGCAGCTGATTTTCCTGGCGCCTCCCAGCGCCGGGAGGCGCCCATGTATCGAGGAAGGGGCCCGGCGGCGGGGCCGAAACCAGCTGCATGCAGCAGATTTCGTAACCCCCCCTTTCCCTATCCCCCCCTTTCGTTCGGGCCGAATGGCACTGCCAGAAGGAACGCTGGAGGAGGAACGCAAGAGAGTTCCTCGCAACGGCGAGCCTCGGCCGCGATTCGGTTCCCCGACCCAGACCTAAGGAACTAGGGGGAAAACACACCTACCTGTACTGGTCAGGAAATTCACGACCTGAGGAACGGCCTGAAATTCACAGCCCCTCCTGAACCCAAAACGGTCCTTTTTCGAGCTGCTTGCCTGTACGGTCAGGGGCTTCTGCTCAGCGTGTCGCGGCGGCGGCCCCGACGACACTTTGTGCCCTGCGAACGGATGGCGTGCTGCCCTGCAAACAGATAGCGCTGGAGAGCCCCAAATCGAATCGACGAGTCGGATCGGAAGTCGACGTGAATCGGACCGGCGGAAATCGGCAGTGGAGCCGGGAAAAGTCGGATCGGCGGAAAGCGGCAGGCCCGTGTGCGTCCAACAGGAATCCGGAATCCACCTCGGAACCCCACATCGAATCGAATCGGAGTCGGGGGGCCATCGAAATCTAATCGCACCGAGCCGGAAGAGTCGACGCGAGCCCCGACAGCGTGCTGCGCCGCTCCGCGCGGCGGGGAGCCGAAGTGCAGGCCCGGGGCGCTGCCGCCCGGGGCCTGCGACGCCGCTCGCGGCGCGCCGCGCCGAAAGCGTGGCAAAGCGAGGCCCGGCGGAGCGACGCGCGGAGGGAGCGTGCCGCACCGTGGCCACCACGTCGAGCGCGGTCACGCCCCGTCGCTCGGACGTCCACTTCCCCGTGAGCTCGTCGGTCTCGTGCGTGTTTTTTCTCGCAGGAGGATCCAGGACGCTCGGCAGTAATCCCCGCCGAGGAAGAAAAGTGCACACGTCCGAGCGACACCAGGGTCCCTGACCGTGGCCAAGTCGAACGCGTCAGGGGGCCCCATCTACTCCGACTGGGGGAATACCAAAAGACACGAGCATGAAAACTCGGAGGTCCGCGCGGAGTCCTCGGATCAGCGCGGGGACATCCGAGATTTTATGTTTACGCCGCCTTCTGTTCCCCCATTAACCATCCCTCCCATAGCATACAATTCCATGGACCCAGACGTCTGGCTGCTCCAATTTTTTTCGATGTGTGGGCCCCGAGGCCAGCCTTGTCGGTCTGAGGGCTGCATTTAGGTCTGGCATGTCCTCCTAAAGGCGGATTTGGGAGAAAACATGAAAAAAGTCAAACAATATTCCAACATGGTGGAACGGAGAAGACCCCCAAACCAGGACATCGTTTCGTTTCGTTCGTGTCGTGCGTGCGGGCGAGGCGAAGCTGCGTGGGCGCGCGAGAGGAATGAACCCGCCATCGCTAAGGCGAAGTCAAGACAAATGATTCTCCCCCTCCCGTCCGTCTGGCGGTGGCTCGCGGTGTCCCGCGGTGTCCCGTGGTGTCCCGTGGTGTCCCGTGGTGCCCGTCGCTGCTAGGGCGAACTCAAGACAAATGATTCTCCCCCGCCCGCCCGTCCGTCCGTCCGTCCGGCGGTGTTCCGGGGTGTCCCATGACTGAGATCGATAGTGAGATCGATAGTGATATCGATAATGAGGTCGATAGTGAAATCGATACTGAGATCGATGTGGTGTCCTGAGGTGTCCCGTGGTGTCCCAAAAAGTGAAATCGATAGTGAGATCTACAGGTGTCCCGTGGTGTCCCGTGGTGTCCCGTTGAGTGAGATCGATAGTGAGATCGATAGTGAGACCGATCGTGAGATCGAGACGTGTCCCGCGGTGTCCCGTCGAATGATATCGATAGTGAGATGGGTAGTGAAATCGACAGGTGTCCTGTGGTGTCCCGTTGCGTGAGATCGATCGTGAGATCGATTGAGTCAGATGTTGGTCCCCCCTTTTTTTTTTTTTTTTTTTTTTTTTTTTTTTTTTTTCTCTCTCTCTCTCTCTCTCTCTCTCTCTCTCCCCCCACACAACCTCCTTATCACCCGAAGGGTGGTCGTATGTATAGGTATTATTTGTCTGACTATGCTTGGACACTCCTCCTGTTAGAGGGGCGCGCCCGCCTCAACGCTGCACGTGGTCTGCACGCTTCCGGAGCATGGCGAAGGGCCTCCCGAGGCCGACCACGGCCCAGGCACCGCCCGCTCCGGCGTTTTGTTCGGGGCGTCGGATCTCCGGGGAGGCACGACTCGAACTGGGTCGGGCGTGTTCTCCTGCAGGGGGATGTTGGACGACAAGTAAAACAAATGGTCAAACATGCCGCAAACTACGAGAAAAAAAAACAAATGATGGGAAGCAAACGTCCCCTGACTATGTCTTCTTTTGCTCTCATTCTCGAACCTTCCTCCTGTCGAAGGACAGGCCCGACATAACTCTGGGGAGGCACGGCTAGAAGAAGACACAGCGCCATAAACATCAACTTCTGGCGCCCTGCGCGGGTTTCTTAGATCTGCGCTGGACCCCCCGTCCCTGGCACGCGGAATGCGCCAGCGGCGGCGCCAGAGGCGCCGCCGGGGGGCCCAGCGCGGATCCAAGAAATCCGCGCGGAGCGCCAAACGTTTGTGTTTTACAATCGGGGCGTTGACCGACGGAACCCTAAATAAGGAACGAGGCCCCTATTTTCCATAAGTTAAACTTCGAGTGCATATCGAAAACCTAAGGAAAACCTCAGGCAAGCTGCGAAACAATTCAGGAGCACGGAGGCCCTCCCCAATGAAAAGGGTTCTTTCTTCAGCGCCCCGACTGTAATGCGTTTTTTGCTCTTCGAACGGCGTGATCTCTTAGGACTGGAGCGCGCCCGCCGGCGGGCGGAGGCGGGACGACAGAGAAACCCCGGCTCGGGGGGCCCAGCCGCCGACGGCCTGGCAAAGACCGCCCGCTCCAATGTTTGCTGGAACGTCCGATCTCTGTGAAGGGGCCCTGGGGCACACAAATCAATAGACACAGATCCGCCGACCCGGCGTGAGTTTCAAAGACCCTCGGAACAGCCCGAGCCTCGATTCCCGAGCTTCGGCTCTACTGGGGGGTGGGTGCCGGGGCGGCTCTGCCGGGGTAGGGGGAGGGCCCCAGGACGGGCCCCAAAGGCGCCCGAGAGGGCGCCTAGACTGCGGAAGACATGTCGAAGACGGCCCAAGGAACCCCCAGCAGGCCCCCAGCAGGCCCCCAAGCGGCCAGAAGAGGCCCCAAGATGCTTCCAAGTGGCCCCGAAGAGGCCCCACGAAGCCCCCCAAAGACCCCCAAGAATCTCGAGAAATGCCTCCAGGACGCCTTCTGGAGGCCTCCAAACTGCCTCCGAGACCCCCCCCGAGAAGCCCAGAACCGGCCGCAATGCTTCCACAGCGCTTGCGTCTGAACACAAGCGCTGCGATACAGAAGGTTCTTCCGCACTTTCACATATTCTCCCGTCTTCGGTGTCATTCACATCCATGATCTCACAGGGGCCCGCACAGGCGCGCGCGAAGGCCCCAGATACCTCCCAAACACCATGGTTCCCCGCGGAGACCGGTGATGCACGAGGCTCCACAAAGAACTGTGACGCCAACAGCTCTAGCGCAAAGCTTTCATAGAGTGCGCCAAATCGGCGAAGTGTCAACCCAGAGAGGGCCAGCACCTGGCCCCAAAGAGGCTTTCCAACAACCGCCGAACATCTCTAACAACCGCCGAGAATCTCCTCATCCTCGTCATGCTCCTCCTTCTCCCCCTCCCCATCTTCCACTTCCCGCTTCCTCCTGCTCCTCCTCATCCTCAACATCCTGCTTCGTCTGCCCCTCCCCCCCCGCCCCCCCACCTCATCATGGTCCTCATCGTCGTCGTCCTCCTCCTCCTCATCCTACTCCGTTGCCTCCATTCCCCATCCTCATCATCATCATCATCATCATCCTCACCGCTCGCCGTCGTCGCTGGTCATGGCCGCCATCGTGCGCTTCGGGCAGCAACGGACGCGTCCCGGATCGGCGGCACTGGCCGGAGGCCACTGCAATGACACGATTCCCAATATTTTCCCATGTTTTCTGGGGGCAGCGACGATTCATTGTGTCTGTGTGCGTTTTTTCCCTCCTGACTCTGGGGAGGCACGACGTGATCTTACGACTGGAGCGCGCTCGCCGTGGGGCGAAGACGGGACGACAAAAAGGCCACTACACGAATCCCAATATTTTCCCATGTTTTCTGGGGGAAGCGACGATTCATTGTGCCTGTGTGTTTTTTCCCTCCTGACTCCGGGGAGGCACGACGTGATCTTACGACTGGAGCGCGCTCGCCGTGGGGCGAAGACGGGACGACAAAAAGGCCACTACACGATTCCCGATCTTTTCCCATGTTTTCTGGGGGAAGCGACGATTCATTGTGTCTGTGTGCTTTCTCCCTCCTGACTCCGGGGAGGCACGACGTGGTCTTACGACTGGAGCGCGCTCGCCGTGGGGCGAAGACGGGACGACGAAAAGGCCACTGCACGATATCATGTGAGCGCGCGAATGTTCGTGTGTGCTACGGCTGGCGCCGTCCCATCTGCGAGGCGGGAAGAATCCGCGTTGCACACCGTGGAGGCAACCTGGACGTGCGCCCTGCGGAACATCACCCAGGAGGGCCGACGATACGCATTCCCCGAAATCTCAGCGCAGCATCCGCGCAGCCAGCGAAGTCGGCGTATGGGGGGAGGCAGAGGGCCACAGCGTGAGAGCGGGCGCCCCTGGAGCACGCGGGGCCTCACCTCCCCCTTCTTCCCTTTTTCTGGCTCGTTGCGTGTGTGCTGAGCGCGCGCGTGTGCGCGTGTGCGCGTGCGTGCGTGCGTGCGTGCGTGCGTGCGCGTGCGCGTGCGCGTACGCGTGTGCGTGTGCGAATGTGTGTGTGTGTGTGTTTGTGTGTGTGTGTGTGTGTGTGTGGGCGTGCGTGTGCGCGCGTGCGGAGCGGTCTATGAGTGTTCGGGCGGGCCTCGACGCGCTTGCTTGCTGTTTTGCGACCTTCTACGCCCTGTCGCCGCGCGCATGGCCGCGACTCCAAACAGCGCGCGCGTGTGTGTGTGTGTGTGCGTGTGTGTGTGTGTGTGTGTGTGTGTGTGTGTGTGTGCGCTTGTGTGTGCGTGTGCATGCGTGCGTGCGTGCGTGCGTGTGTGTGTGTGTGTGTGTATATGTACATATGTATGTGTGTGTGTGTGTGTGTGTGTCTGTGTGTGTCTGTGTGTGTGTGCGTGCATGTATGTGTCCGAATACGATGAATGTTCAGACTGGCTTCCACAAGCCGGGTTTGTGAATCATCACGTCTGGGATGGCCGTCGGCGCGTACCTGACTCCTGCCGTCGGTCTTTGACTCGTGTACGTCTGTTGCTCTCTTGCCGCTCCTTGAACTGGCTCTGCGAAGTGTGTTGCAGACTTGGGCTGGACCTCTTCGTGACTTTCTTGCCTCAGGGTTTCCTCGACGTACACGCTGCGGCTACTGCAATCTTCTTCGCGCCTGGGGGCAGCCGAGAGCGCGCTGGCTGGTGGCTATGCGAAAAAGATCGCGCCTCCTGCCTCAATGGCTGGATCGCTTCGCGTCTCTTGGCTGGACATCTGTGCCGCTCATATTGGACTCCACTGGGCCGCCGCCGCGAAACTACGTGTGTGTGTGTGTGTGTGTGTGTGTGTGTGTGTGTGTGTGTGTGTGTGTGTGTCTGCGTGTCTTGCAAACGATCCAGCGCGGTCCCCTGTCTGAGGTCCCGGCCTCGCGCGCTATGTCGGTGCCGACTGTCTTTTATGCTCCGCCCAGTTGCTGCGCGCGAGGCCGCGACCGCCCAACAAGTGTGTGTGTGTGTGCTCGTGCGTGCGTACGTGCGTGCGCGTATGCGTGTGCGTCGTGTGCGTGTGTGTGTGTGTGTGTGTGTGTGTGTGTGTGTGTGTGTGTGTGTGTGTGTGTGTGTGTGTGTGCGTGCGTGTGTGTGTGTGTGTGTGTGTGCGTGTGTGTGTGTGTGCGTGTGTGTGTGTGTGTGCGTGTGTGTGCGTGTGCGGCGTGTGCGGCGTGTGCGTGTATGTGTGTGTGTGTGTGTGTGTGTGCGTGCGCGTGTGTGTGTGTGTGTGTGTGTGTGCGTGTGTGTCTGTGTGTGTGCGTGTGCGCGTCTGCCCGTAGCCCGTCTGGCGTCACACCATTCATGTAAACGAGCGGCTGTGCCAAATTGCAGCACAGCAGGGGCGCTTGCCAGACGGACGCAACATGGTACTGCTGAGCATGTCTGGAAGTCCGGCAACACCACCCTAAATGAATTGTGGTGCTGCGCTGCCACGGGGCGGGGTTTGTCGAAGGCAGCTGGGCTACGCGCTCGAATCCCACCAGCCTCTGGGCGTGAGTAGTTTAGGGACTGTCCTCTATTCCCCTTCAGGGAAGGGTTTATCACTGCTCCTTCTTTCTTCGACGAGGATGGTGGCCGCCCACATGCTTCCCGATGTGCGCGGGCGCGCCTGGCATACTCTGCGCGTGCTGGCCTATGTGGAACATATGGCACATCTGGCGCACCAAGCGTGCCAGGCACGCTTGGGCCCCAGAGGCGCCTGGCGCGCCTAGCACGTGTGGCGCGGCTGACACGCGTTACGCACCTCGCCCCTGCGTCGCGCACCTGGGGTCTATACTGGTTCCCAGTAGATGCCCAACCAAAGACGACCGCTGAATATGCTGAGACTCGGGTATTACTGTTGTGTTAAAAGGGCCGGTGGGAGTGAGCCAAACAGCTTGCGTCTGGGAGCCGGTGTCTTGAACCCCCCCCACCCCTTCTCCCTTGTTCTGGACCGGGGCCGACCGTTAGGCCCACGATGGAGGTCGCGCACTGTGAGCGATCTCCCTGAGACAAACATGTGTCCACCGGTGTTCGTCGGACATCGCGGCGGGCAATCGGCTCCGCCCAGGCCGCGCCCTTGTCTGGGCCAAAGCACACCTGGCTCTGCAGGACCCTGCAACGCCCCGGCGCTCTGGCTGATCCCTGTTTGCACCGACCCCCGTCTCAAGGCTCCCCATTCCTTCCCCGCTCCCCACCCCGCCGGCCACGCCCGTGCTCGCCAGGGGAGGAGGCACGACTTCTTGCTCGTGCTCCTCCCTTTCCTTTTGGCTTCTGCCCTCGCCCCTCGTCGAGGGTGCCTCGGCTCTGCCCTGGCTCGGGCCGTGCCGCTGCGGCTCCCGTGCTGGGCACGTCCGTTGCTCCTCCGCCACCCTTCGCGGCCCTCGTTCCCGAGGTGCGTGGACCCCTGGTTCGAAGCGGGATCGTCTGCGACGGGCCGCTGGTCGAGCTTGCCTCAAACCTCAGCGTCACCGTACCTGGGTCAACGTTCGGATGCTCCAGAGACGAACTACTGCGTGGTTGGTGTGCACAACGCCGCCAACGTTAAATCTGAAAGATGTGTGTGTGTGTGTGTGTGTGCTGGTTGTTCTCTGATCCTCCTCCTCCTCCTCCTCCTCCTCCTCCTCCTCCTCCTCCTCCTCCTCCTCTGCCTCTGACTCCTCCCCTTCCTTCTCGTCCTCCCGGGGAGAGGCAGCCTCCCCCTTCTCTCACCTGCCTCCTCCTTTCTTCCTCCCTCCCTTCTTCCCTCCTCCTTCTCCTTCTCCTGAGGGACTCCCTCACTCCCTCCCTCTTCCTGGGATCAAGATGTCCAACTCCCTGGAACAAGACACGCCTCTTCCCATCTCCCACCTTCTTCGCTTCCTCCTCCTCCTCCTCCTCCTCCTCCTCGTCCATCGCCTCCTCCTCCTCCTCCTCCTCCTCCCTTTTTTCCTGAAGGGCTCCCCCCTCCTCCTACTCCTCGTCGTCTCCTCCTCCTCCTCCTCCTCCTCCTCCTCCCCATCGGCTCCTCCTCCTCCTCTCCTCCTCCTCTCCTCCTCCTCCTCCCCCATCGGTTCCTCTCCTCCTCCTCCTCCTCCTCTCCTCCTCCTCCTCCTCCTCCTCCTCCTCTCTCCTCCTCCTCCTCCTCCTCCCCCTCTCCTCCTCCTCCTCCTCCTCCTCCTCCTCCTCTCCTCCTCCTCCTCCTCCTCCTCCTCCCTCCTCCTCCTCCTCCCCCTCCTCCTCCTCCTCCTCCTCCTCCCCCTCCCCTTTCCTTCCACGGGGCGGTGCCGCTGAGGCGGCGCAGGCCGCGCCCCCGGCGCCCCCGGGGCGGCGATGGCGGACCTCTCGGGAGGGAAGGGGCCGCCCCCCTCTTCTCGGCGGCGAGCCGAGGGGGGGCAAGTGCGAAGGAGCCCACAAACACACAAACAAACAAACAAACAAACAAACAAACAAACAAACAAACAAACAAACAAACAAACAAACACACACACAAATAAAAGGATTCCCCATATCTTCCTATATGTTCTGTTTATTTTTGTCTTCCCCCCCACTTCCCATGTTTTCCCATCTTTTCCGGGGGACCGACGATTAAGTGTGTCTGCCTTCTCAGTAAGAGAAGGCCTTCTCGAAGGCGGCGGGATTTCTCAGAAACCCTCGCGCCTTATGAGAAATTGTCGTGTCTCCGGTGAAGGCTTAGGGAACTTCTCGGAAGGCTGGGGGACTTCCGAGCCTTCTGAGAATTTCCGCCCCTTCTCACTTCCCCCCCTCTCTCGCCGCCGATCTTCGACTCACATAACCCAGGAAACCCCAACAAGCCAACAAGCCAAAACATAGCCATAGAACGGCATACATATGCATCTTTGGAGGGCCGAGCGGATTGTTTGGATCGGCATTGGGATCCCCTCCCTGGCGCGCGGAGCGTGCCAGGAGCGGCGCAGCAGGCGCCGCCAGGAGAGACCAGCGTCGTTCCGAGAAATCCGCGCGGACCTCCGAGCATTTATGCTTATGCCTCGGGGATATTCTGACCCAGGTCAGTCCAAACTGGGTCAGTCAGGCCTTGCAGGATCTGCAAGATTTTTCAGGATCCTGCCTACAGGATCCTGCACCCGAGCCCAAGTTGGTGCGCCCCTGGCCCCGTCTCTAGAGCCCCGAACGCCGCGTCTGGGGGCAGACCCGGCTTCGAAATCGCATCCCTGGCCCGAAAACGGGCCCCGGATGCGAGGAGGAGGAGGAGGAGGAGGAGGAGGAGGAGGAGGAGGAGGAGGAGGAGGCGGGGGAGGAAGAGGAGGAGGAGGAGGAGGAGGAGGGGGGGAGGAGGAGGAGGAGGCGGGGGAGGAGGAAGAGGAGGAGGAGGAGGAGGAGGAGGAGGAGGAGGAGGAGGAGGAGGAGGAGGAGGAGAAAGACCGCCGGATGGGAAACAATCAGATTCTTGGACCTCCGGGCCTCGCTCGCCGCAGCTCCTCCTCCCCAGCCGCTGCTTGCCTGCCCCGGAGACCCGGCTCCGCACGGCGGCGTGTACGAGGGCACGGCCGCCGCGGCGGCTGCGGCGGGGGGGACGTACGAGCAGGCCGCTGGCGCGGCGGCTGCGGGCGGCAAGAAGCTGGCGGCCTCCGCTTCCGCCGCGCCGGGCGCCCTCTCTCCCCTTTGTTCACTCTTTTCTCTGTTTTGTAAAAGCTTACGAGAGCGATCCTCTGGAACTTATCACTCTTGAGTGACATGGTAGTTGTGCAACTGGTCATTCTGTTCACTGGTGCTGCTCTTGTCGATTAGTCATTGCTCTGTATTGATTTTTTTTTATCTCTCTCTCTCTCTCTCGGTCTCTCTCTCTCTCTGCCTCTCTCACTCACGGCTGCCTCTGTCTCTCTGGCTCTTGTCGCTCCTCTCTCTCCCTCCCTCTCTCACTCACAGCTGCCTCTGTATCTCTGGCTCTTGTCGCTCTGCCCCTCTGTTTCTTTATAGCTCTCTGTCTGTCTGTCTGTATGCCTGCCTGCCTGCCTGCCTGCCTGCCTGCCTGCCTGCCTGCCCGTTTGTGCGTCTGTCTGTCTGTCTGTCTGTCTGTCTGTCTGTCTGTCTGTCTGTCTGTCTGTCTGTCTGTCTGTCTCTCTGTCTGTGGGGGGGGGGCCGCCACGCCTAGGGCAACGCATCGCAACGATACCGCTCGGAGGCGCCTCCGCTTCTGATTGCGAGCCCTCGGTCGCCAGGCCCGCGAATCCCCCAGGTCGCGATTTCGCGTCGCTGGGGGTCTCGATTCACCTTGACTACAACCACAACTCGGCGGCGAGCCTGCGGGGGAAGTGAGAAGGGGCTGAACTTCTAAAAAGGAACCTTCCCTGAAGGCAAAACAAAACAACTCTCAAAGGCCGCAAGGCTTTTGAGAAGCCCCGCCACCCTCTAAAAAGGCATTATCCTTCTAACTTCCCCCCCTCGCTCGCCGCCGAAAAAAAACGTATAGAAAGGACGGGTGGTATGGACGCAAGACCCTTGGAAGCCGATGTTGGGATCTTGTGGGCGGCGAGCGACCAATGGGTACCCTGAGAGGCTGGCCCGTGGAAGCAGCAAAAGACGGACCGCGGAAACAGGGGCACACATAGAGGGAACAAAAACCGGCACAAACATTAATTATTTGAAGTCCCCGCAGATTTTTTGGATCCGCGCAGGGCCACCCACCCCCGCGCGCGGAGCGCGCCGGGCGCTGCGCCGGAGGCGCCGCCAGGGGTGCCCAGCGCGGATCCAAGAAATCTGCCCAGAACCTCAAACAAACGTTTATTCATGCCTGCCAATGTCCATCGAATATAATAAGGACGGGTTGGTAAGGACGCAAGACCCTTGGAGGCCGAGGCTGGGATTTCTTGGGGGCGGCGGGCGACCAAAGGGTACCCTGAGAGGCTGGCCCGTGGAAGCGGCAGCGGGCGGGCCGCAGAGGCAAGGGCACAAGTAGACAAGCAAAACACGGCATGAACATCAACTTCTGGAAGCCTGCGCAGATTTCTTGGATTCGCGCTGGACTCCCTCATCGGCGCGCGCGGAACGCGCCAGGGGCGGCGCCGGAGGCGCCGCCGGGGGGGCCCAGCGCCGATCCAAGATGTCCGCGCGGAGCGCCAAACACTTCTGTGTATGCCCTCTTTTCTTCTAATGAGAAACATGTTGTGCTTCGCAAGAGCAACAAAGACCGACGGACACAGCTGCATGAGTGCACGCGTCATCTATCTCCTGCGTGGGGGGCCATCCGTGCCCAGCAACTACACCGCGCAACGCGCTCCCTTGGACTGCCGACGGCGGGTGCCGAGCCGGGATTTCAAACAACGCCGGCGGAACAAAACAAGTCGATTCACGCGCTGATGAGGCGTCCCTCATGCTAGAGAAGTGGCTTCGAAGCTGCGAGTTTAATCGATCTCTAGCCCGCATGGGCCCCGCAGGGCATCCAAAAGGCAAACAACAGCTTAGGACAGAAGTGTGCAAATACTCTTGACTGAAGCTCAGAATCACGCAGCCGCTCAAGGTTCTTTCGCCCTGAGCTCCAAAAGAAAAGCGTCCGTCCTCCGGCCCTGTGCGAGCAAATAGGGAGTTGGAGGCACTTCGATCCCAGGCTTGCTTCTCCTCTCAAACAGCTCCGTGTGACTGTTCAGGCAGTGGGTTGAAACGCGGAGTAGCGCATCACCAAGTGTAAATGGTCTGGGACTGAGTGGCCACACTACGATGCGACCTCTCTTCCGTCGGGCTCGTACTCTCTGCAACCAGCGTCCACGTGTACGCTGTCTGGTTCGGGGAGCTCTCCAAAACGCGAGACTGAGCAAGCCAGCGTCCTACTAGCCCGCTGACTGCCACCACTAAGCGCAGTCCAGACACACATCAATGCAATCTGAAATCCCCGGCCGCTAGCCTCAGCAGCTGAATGCATGGGGCAGGCCTCGCTGTCGTAGTAATACCCGCCCGTCGCGTCACCCTCCGTTTGCTGCAAGCGAGCCGCCGCTGTCGCGCCCCTGGCGAGCGCAGCTGCGCGGTGCTTGACATCTTGCCGGGGCCAAAGCACCCGCGCCACCGGGCCCCTGACCTCGCCGACGCCCTCGCGGCGCGCGATCCCACGGGCGGCCGACGAGTCAGTCAGGAGCGTCGACGCCACGGTGAACCCGACGAAGTCCGACCAGGCCTTGACATGATAGAATGAAGGGGCACTGGGACACAACAGTAAATTCGCACACAAAAAAACGCGATTCCCAACATGTTCACATTTCCTGGGTTTCTGTCCCCCCCCACTTCTCACGTTGTTGCGCATTCTCCTGGGGATCGACGATTAATTGTGTCTGTGTGCTCTTCCCGCCTGAAATGAATCCTCTGCCGCCGCGGCATCCGCGCAGTGCTCGGCAACGCCGGAACTTGTCGCGACGATGGACTTGCGCCTACTAAATGAGCGCATCGGGGCCCCGTCGATCTCGATCCTGCCACTCGACTGGGACCTCCTGGTCTGCAAGTCGCCCGCCCAGTCGCTGTCCGCGTGCCCGATCAGCTCCGCGTTCGCGCCGACGAGATCTGGCTTCGGCAGCCAGTTCGTGGCATTCCGGGTGCCCATGAGGTACCTTGCCAGCCTCTTCAGCGCGGTGAAAGCCCCCGCCTTCGGGCCCACCAGCGCCCCGCCGACCAGGCTGACCTCGCACTGGGCATCGGCCCTGCCCCGCGCGCATTGCATCGACGCACCCGCGCGCGAACGATAGACGCCCGCCTGTTCTGAGCCCGGCAAAAAGGTGAAACCCATGAGCGCCTTGTGCGCCGGCGCCCCCGGGGTCGGCGCCGAGTTCGAGGCTCCGAGCCCGAGGGTCTCCACCGCGTAGTCGGGGTACTTCGGGTTCGCCTGGAGGTCCGCGCCGCGCGCGAACCTCGCCCTGAAACGCTTCGAGTGCTCGTGGGCGACGCCGAGCTCGTGGATCGCGCCGCCGCTGAAAGTGTCCAGCTGCCTTGCCTCGTCGCAGAAGGCTTCCGGCGCCTGTCTCCTCCCAGCCAGGTGGAGATCATCCATGCGCAGCTCGACCATCGCCTCCCGCTCGGGGTGGTGAGAAAACTGGGGGGCCACCTCGCACCTGTTCATGTTCATCCTGTCCGTCAGCATCCCCGCCATGCGGTCTGTCCACCCTGGTGCCGCCGTGCGCCTGCCAGGCATCTACTTCTTGAGCTTCCCGTGGATGTCCGTGCTCTAGCCCTGCGCGCTGAGCCGCTCCAGGTACTCGGGCGGCGGGTCCACCGCGACGCCCTCCGTCTCGGGCGCCTGGTAGAACGCGCCAGTGGCGTCCAGCGCCATGACCTTGAAACTCCGCTCGAGCGCCACGACGTCGATCAGCCGTTGCGATATCGGAGCCGACCCTTGCGTGAAGAGGTCGTCCCGCCACTCCTGCCGGCGGTGCGCTCGACAGACGAAGCGAATCTTGCGCTGCCGCACCTGGGCGGCAGGCTCCCACCTCCACTGCTTCTCTCAGCGCGTGGTGACGTGCTTCATCCTGGCCGCCTCCGGCTCCTGGATGTCCTCGCCGACTCTGTGGTCGAGGAGGCTCTGCAAGTGCTTCTCGGTGAGCCGCGAATCCAGCCCGTCCTGCGGGGCCCCGTCGAACATGCTCTCGCTCGGGCCCTGCGCCTCCTCGGGGGCCCCCTCCCAGAAGACGTCGGCGGCGTCGTCGAGGCTGCCTGCGTCGACGGCGTGGGCCGCTGCCACTCGGGCCCGCTTGCCCTCGGCTGCCTCCGCTGCTGGCGAGATCTCTCGCTGGGCCGCCAACGCAGGCGCCCCCGTGGCCTGGTCGCTCGCCGCGGGCAGACCTGGCGCGGCAAGCCCCCGGTGGGCTCCAGAAATTTTGGCCTGGATCGGCTGCTCTGCTGGCGCTGGCTGCGCTGCCAGCTGTGCCTGAGGCTGAGCTGGTGCCGCCCCGCCTTCCTGAGGCGCTGGCGGCGGCCAGGGTGCCGGCTGCAGCCCCAGCCGCTGCGCCTGCTGCTCCTGCCCGCCGGCCGGCGGGAGCTTCCATGCTCCAGATGAAGGCAACTTCCCCATGCTCAGCAGGTCGTCGTTCACGTCGGCCGCCGGGAAGTCTGCCGTCGCCTTCGCGCCCTCTGCCTCGGCCCGCCGTCGGTAGCGGCTTGCGCAGCGCGTCGAACAGTTTCGGGGTCTTCGGAGCCTCCGCAGTGGCGTCGGGGACGAACTTCGGTCTACACAGGTGGTCGTCGCTGCCCGAGTCGATCAGCACCGAGCCGCCGACCTTCGCAGCGGCGCCCTGCCCCCTGGCGGTGATTGCGAAGACCCAGGCCTCGCCGTCCTCGCACGCTTCGCCGTGGTAGCCGGCAGCCGCTGCGACCGCTCCCGACGCCGAGGGCGCGGCTGCGTCCGAGACCGCCCTCGCGCCTCCAGCAAGCTGCTGCGAGGCCTTCTCGTCGTGGAGCCGCTTGAAGCAGTCGACCCGCTTGTGGCCCCACTTGTGCTAGCTGCACTCGCCGTCGAAGTGGGCGTTGCCAGCTCAGTGGCCACTCGGCTGGCCTCCGCGCCCAGCTCCTGTCTTACCTCCGTCCTTCGTCTCCCTCTTTGCCTTGTCACCCTTGCCATTGCACTTCCCACCTTTCTTGCCGTGCTTGCCGAGCTTGCCGCCAACCTTGCCACCAGCCTTGCCGCCGTAGGTCACGGCGCCCACCTGCGTCGGACCGAAGCCCGTGCCAGTGTCGACAGCGTTGAAGGTGCGGCCCTGGTTGTAGCAACCTCGGATGTGGCTGCGGGCCGCCGCGAACGTGAGCTTGACATCCTCAGGGGCCTGACACAGCGCCTCGCGATAGGCCTCCGGCGCGTGCTCCAACAACACGCTGACTCGGACGTTGTCCGACACAACCTCTCCACTCTGATCCGTGTACTCGGCCACGATCGCTTCCCAGGCTGTGAAGGTTTGAAGGAAATCGACCCCCGCTTCGCGATCCTTGGCCCACTTGTCCTGCGGACTCAGAATGAAGTGAAGCATGGCCGTCCACCGGTTCCCCGCCCTGGTCTCTCACTTTACCTTCAGCTACCTCCAGGCCTCCAAACCGCTCTTGCGCGCGAGCTTGACCACGCCCATGGCCTTGCCGTCGCACCACGTGATCAGCAGGTGCCACAGCCTCGCGCTGATCTGAACCACTCTCTCACCGAGCTGGTCGTTGGTGACGGGATTCCTGCTCGCCGCCGCCGCCATCATCAGGTCCTCGAACCCAGGGGGCGCCGTGTAGGCCTCGAACTTCAAGCGCCAGTCTCCCCAGCGCTCGCCCGTGCCGTCGAACCGCTGCAGCCTCATGTCCGTCCGCACGTCGACGACATCTGCCATGGCACACGCCAGGGCTGCTGGAGGCGAAAAACTGCGTGAACCCAGGTCCCGTGGATCAGGGCAAAACAGGCTCCGCTGCCATGTAGCGATCATGAAAACATGTTTTGCTTCGCTGGAGCAGCGAAGACCCACGGACACAACTGCATGAATGCACACATCATCTATCTCCTGCATGGGCCCCCCCGGGCTCAACAACTACACCGCGCAACACTTGACCACAAAGGCTCGGCGCGCCAACCGCTTGTTTGCCGGGCGCCGGCGCGGACACGCGCGACTTCGGGCCATCTCCCTGTCTCTTTCTGCCTGTCTCTCTCTCTCTCTCTCTTTCTTTATGCATGTATGTATGCATGTATAAATGTATATGTATATGTATATGTATGTCTGTGTGTATGTGTGTATGTGTGTATGTATGCATGCATGCATGCATGTATGTGTATGTGTATGTATGTGTATTTGTATATGTATATGTATATGTATATGCATATGTATATGTATATGTAAATGTATATATATATATATATATATATATATATCGTGTGAGTATCCTTTCCCTCTCTCTTTACTTTTTTGTTTCCTCTCTCTCTCTTTGTCTCTTTATCTCTATCGCTGACTCGCGTCATCTGGTCCTGGCTGCGGCGGAGGGGGACGCCCCGTCGATCGCAAGCCGCTCAGCGGCCAAGCCTTTGTCCCCCAGCCGCCAACCGGGGCTTCGCCGACCTGTGCCCTTTCCCCCCCGCGGGGCGCCGAGAGACGTGGTGCATCGCCTGCTCAGCACCCTGTCACTTGCTTCAGTCGCCGTGCGCCGGGGTGTGGATGTTTCGAACCTCCCCGTACTTTCAGGTGCAACACCACCGCCAAAAGTGCGTCGGCGGCCTCCGCTACCGCAGTAGCAGGCCGCGACGGGACGCCCGTCTGCTTGTCCGATCTCTCTCCCTCTCTCTCCCTCGGTCTCTCTCCCTCTCTCTGCTCCGTCTTTCTCTGTCCCTGTCCCGGTCTCTCTCTCTCTCTCTCTCTCTGTCCCTGTCTCTCTCTCTCTCTCTCTCTCTCTGCTTACCCCGAAGATCGAGCGTCGTCACCGCCGCCCTTCCCCCCAAAAAAAACCGTTCGAGGCGTCTCGCAGCAGGCGTTCGAGGCGGCAGGCCCGCCGCCAACGCCTCTCGGCCCCTGGCGGCCAAGGCCCCCCCAGGCCTCGGGGGCCGCCACCGGAGACCACGGGTCGGGACGGGGGACACCCTAGAATCGGGTCGGGCGTGTCCTCTCGGGCCGGGCGAAAGAGGGGGATAGCAAAGCGGGGGCTGAGAATCAGCTCGCGTCTCTGATTCTCCCGGCGCCGGGAGGCGCCCATGAGGAGCCCATGTATCGAGGAATGGGCCCGGCGGCGGGGCCGAAACCAACTGCATGCAGCAGATTTCGTAACCCCCCTTTCCCTATCCCCCCCTTTCGTTCGGCCCGATCCTCCTACTGGGGGATTTGGGACGAAAAGTAAGCCCAAACAGAAAATACCCCCAACTGGTCAAAACTGGTCAAAACCTCGTCCCCAGACTATTGTATAACGACTTTTGAACACTCCTCCTGTAGAGGGACAAGCCGACTTCACCATGGAATGAAACAAACGCCCAAACATAAAATGCTGGCGCTCCGCGCGGATTTCTTGGATCTGGAGCGCGCCAGGGGCGGCGCCGGAGGCGCCGCCCAGGAAGGCCCAGCGCGGATCCAAGAAATCCGCGCGGAACGCCAAAACATTCTGTTTGTGGCGTGTCTTTCCTTCTTCGAAGACCGTCCCCAGAGGGGGCGTGGGCGACGAGGGGGGCGAAGGGGGAAGGCAGTACTGACGGGCCCCCCAGGGACACCCAAACAAATGCACACAACTCCCTAAATTCCCAACATTATGTTCCCATATATGTTCTGGGTGTTCGTCTTCCCCCCCACTTCCTATCATTTCCCATATGTTCCAGGGAATCAATGTTTCCTTGTGTCCGTGTGTTGTTTCCCCTGCTAAAAAACATGCATCCTGGCGCGCCGATTATCCCTGCCTTCGGCGAGGCTCCCCGACGAATGCGTATAACGCCCGCCCCTGAGCCGTGTTCGCGCCTCTCGTCGCCCCCGAGGAGGATTCGCGGCGAACACAAGGGGGAGATAGGGGGGGAGATAAAAGGGGGAGGGGGGAGGCTGCTTAGAAACAGGCCGCTCCTTAGAAAGGCGCCGGCCTCACGGCCATAGAGAAGGCCCGCACCTGCTAGGAAGCCGGGGTGTTTCTAAGAAGCCTTCCTGCGAGGCGGGGGTTTGTCCATATACCCGCCGACTGCGACCCGACGCCCTGGTGCCCCAGCGGGCGGTGGACATGGATATATCTCGGCCCCCGGGGGCCCGAACGTGTCCATACCCACCGCCCGCCGAGGCTCCGACAGCTGACCCTCCAGGCGGTGGAAGTGGAGAAATATTCCCGCCTCGGCCTTCCCCCCTCTCCCTGCCCCCCTCTGCGCCTGGCTCAAGGGAAGGGCTTCGAGAGGGGCCGGGTGCCGGCGCCTTTTTTGTCGCGGGCGGACGCTGAATCGCAGTCGCCGAGCTGAGAGGTCCGGGCCAGGGGCCTGTCAAATTAGCAACGCGCTAGCCTACTAAGAGCACAGCGGCCGAGCCCGGAATCAGAACCTACCGCCGAGGCCGCAGGCTGACGCTGAGCTGGCTGAGCTGACTGCAAACGGCCAGGGTAGCTGATGCACACATGCGAGTGAATTGGTTCCTGCACGCCAGGAGGGTGCCCCGGCGCCCGCGCAAGCAGAAGAATCGGAGCGCCGGGCGTCTGGGCCGTCGTCGTCGTTCGGGGGGGCCGGCGGAGGTCGGAGACGCCACGCTGCTCTCCCGGGAGCGCTTTTCGGGGGGTCCTCTCGGGAGGCCTCTGGTGGCTTCCCCTGCCCCTTCCCCCCCTCCCCATCCCTTTCCAGTGGCCCCCTCCTGACCTCCACCAATCCATGATCGAAGGGGCTGCTCATGAAAATACGAAGTTCAACGCTGTTAACACAGAGGCACCATGACGATAATCGAAACTGCACACGAATACCAACAGGCCAACAGGCGTGCACCTGCCTCAATGGTTATGCCCTCCCCTCGCTCCCTCCGCTTCTCCCCCCTCGCCGTCACGGTCGCTATCGTCGTCACCGTCATCGTCGTCCTCCTCTCCCTTCTCCTCTTCGCCATGCTTCTGCTTCGTGTGAAGCAGGCGCCCCTTTCTCCTGTCGGGTGGACGCCAGCCAAGGTCCATGCGGTCCCTGCCCCTGGCACAAAAAGCAGGCACAAGGCGTTACACACCAGATACTATGAGCACCGCCTGTCGAAGAATACTCTCCGCGTGCCTCCTGTTCAGCGCAAAGCCACCATTGTCAAAAAGAGAGCACGATCCTGAAGCACGCGCACCAATTAGTATGCACGCCTCGCCTCGTGTACCATGACTGCGCGTCGACTATCCTGTTTAGCAACATATTGCCGAAATGCAAGCCCGAGCATGATTCCGGCATCTCTTTTCTCCCGTGCCACTTCAGCCTCTTCCGTCGTTGCTGATCTCCTTTCAGGGCCTCGGAGCTGGTCTTCAGGCCTGTGCAATCCAGGATTCCAGAGGAGTCACCCGATAATAAAAAAACTGATTGCTCACTAGCTGGGCTGAGCTCTATCGACAACGATCGTCCCGTCGGACAACAAAAAAAATCCTCATCCTCACCCTGCTTCTCTCCCTCTGCTTCTTCATCATTCCCCTGCTCCTCTTGATGCTCGAGCTTCTCCTGCTCCTCGTCCTCCCGTTCCTCGTGCTGCTGCTGCTGCTGCTGCTGCTGCCCCGATTCCTCCTCTTCCTTCCGCGCCTCCTCTCCTCTGCCTCCTTCCCCTCCCACTCCTCCCCTGGCCTCCTTCCCCACCTCGGGGTCCAGCTGCGAAGCGAGGGTGCCCTCCGCGCATTCGGGCCGTCTCCCGTGCCTCCACGAGCAACTCTCAGGGGAACAAACAGTGGCATAAACATAAAACTCGGAGGTCCGCGCGGATTTCTCGGGTCGGCGCTGGACCCCCCTCCCTGGCGCGCGGAGCGCGCTAGGGGCGGCGCCGGAGGCGCTGCAGGAAGTCCCCAGCGCCGATCCGAGAAATCCGCGCGGACCTCCGAGTTTTTATGTCTATGCCACTTCTTGTTCCCCTAACTCTGTGCCGAGCACCCCCACCTGTCCTTCCCTCTCCTCGCGCCTGGCCTCCTTCCCCACCGCGGGGTCCGGCTGCGATAGCGAGGGTGCCCTCCGCGCGTCCGTGGCAGGCCCCCCGTGCCTCCACGAGCCCCTCCGTGGCAGGCCCCCCCTGTCCTTCCCTCCCCTCGCGCCTGCGGCGCGGCGCCCCGCGCGGGGAAGCCCCCCGCGGCTGGTGCGCAGGCCGAGGGCCCCACGGCCTGCGCCGGCGCGGCGCACACCGCCGCGGGCGCCGCGGAGGCCACCCCCAGCGGCGCGGCCGCGGTCCACGCCCCTGCCGCCGAGTGGGGCGGGGCCGCCGCGGCGGTCGCGCAGGCGACTGCTGGAGCGGCCGCGGCCGCCCCCCGCGGCGCGGTCGTCGTCCACGCCCCCGCCGGCGGCCAGGGCGGGGCCGCCGAGGCGGTCGCGCAGGCGGCC